GGCAACACTAAAAACATGTGCAATATCAGATCTAGTGCATACCATAGCATACATCAAACTACCAACTGCACTAGCATATGGGACTCGCGACATGTATTCTTTCTCAGCCTCTGATTGCGGTGCATAAACCGAGGATAGATGAACATTAGAAGCACTAGGAGTATTCAAGGGCTTTGCTGAAGACATGCCAAACCTGGACAATATCTTATGGATGTAGCTCTTCTGTGACAAGAAAAGCTTCTTCTTCTCTCTATCCCTGTAAATCTCCATAACCAGAATCTTCTGAGCAGCTCCCAAATCCTTCATCTCAAACTCAACACTGTGAAGCCCCTTTTAACTTCAGGATATCAGACTTCGACCTCGCATCTATGAACATATCATCCACATATAGAACCAGATATACCATTGAACCATCTGTTGCCTTGTTGTGATATACACAACAATCATACTGACTTTTGTTGTAGTCCAACTCAAGCATGTAACTATCAAACTTCTTGTACCATTGCCTCTGAGATTGCTTAAGTCCATACAAGGACTTTTTCAGCTTACAAACATAGTCTTCTTTTTCTGGAACCTGGAATCCTTCTAGCTGAGTCATGTAAATTTCTTCCTCCAACTCTCCATGTAGGAAAGTTGTCTTCACGTCTAGCTGCTCAAACTCCAAGTCATAATGTGCCACTATCACTAGTAACACCCTGATTGAAGTGTGTCTGACCACTGGTGAGAAAATCTTATTGTAGTCAACTCCTTCCCTCCGCGAGAAGCCTCTTGCAACTACCCGAGCTTTAAATTTCATGCCCTCTTCATAATTCATTCATGCCTTCTTCTTGTAGATCAACTTGTTGTAACAATCTTCCTTCCTTGTGGACGTTTGACCAACTCCCAAGTCCGATTTCAGTCGGATTCCATCTCGTCCCCCACTACAGCAAGCCACTGAGCGACTTCATCACACGAAACTGCTTCTCTGCCGGACTGTGGTTCACCCGCATCCACCTCTTCAACAACCTGAAAAGCATACGCCACCATGTCCTTGAAGCCATACCTTTGTGGAGGTACTCCTGCAGTCGCTCTCTTCGGTCTACCGGAAGCTATAGATTATTGAGCTCGTGCACTCAACTCTGAAGTTTCTGACTCATCAGAAATATCCTCATGTTGATCTTCTCCACCTTGGTGCTCAAACTCACTCTCTTTGAGAGTTTGAAGCTCCACATGTTTATCAACATTCTTGCTATCTCCAATAATAGTAACCTTCAACATGGGGTTAAACATAGACTTCTCATCAAATATCACATTCCTGCTAAGTATAACTCTATGCTCAGAAGGTGACCAGACTAGAAATCCCTTAAATCCATCTCCAAAACCCACAAAACACCTGATAACACCTAAATTATACATATATGCCTACACTTTTACATCCTAAAATAACATAAATTGTACCAAGTTCATTCGATTTCCCGATTTTATGCTTGGTTTTGTGTTTGAGTCATGTTTCAGGGTATTCTATCCAATAAGAACGGAATAATGAATCAATTCAACAAAAAGATGGTTAGGGTTCGAAATCTGGCGTCGGTGGAACTCGAGCCCGCGACGTCCCAGGCGAGGGCAAAGAGCCGTACCACTTCAGCCGCGTCCCCTTTTGTTATCAATATACGAAACCCATCGTTTATTATGGTGATGAATCACGGAAAGAGAGTCAAAACGCAAACTGCCGAGTCAAACCGCAAACTGCCAAACATAAGGAAAGCTGGTTCATTTTGGGATTCTCAAGGGAAGCTAGTAGCTGTAGCTAGTGGCTCACGTCCAAATAAAGAAGCAAGCAGCTGGAGGATGGTTGGTGTCAAATGAAGAAGCAAGTTGGTCCAAAAAAAAATAGAAGCTAGCTGGTCAATTACTTGGGAAGCATGCAGGTCCATACGTAGGAGCAAGCAGGTCCATTATTCGGGAAGCAAGCAGCTGCATCCGTTCTAAGCAAGCAGCTCCTCCTCCCTTGCCTTCGTCGCTCGATCGTAGCTGAAGCTAGTAGCTGGTGCAAATCACGATTAAGTGGGAGCAAGCTACCAGGTCAATTTAATGGAAGCAAGCTGGAGAATTAAATGGACAAGCAAGCTCGTCCAAATAATGAAGCAAGCACGTCCATTATAGCTCGTCCATAACTGAAAGCGAGCTCGTCCATTATTTGAAAGCAAGTAGCTGCCTCGTCCATGAATGAAAGCTGCCTCGTCATGAATGAAAGCAAGCAGCTGGTCATTATCAAAGCGAGAAACAAGCAAGCAGCTGGTCCATTTATTACAAGCAAGTAGCTGGCCTGCAAGTAGCTCAAGCAAGTAGCTCAATTTGTACTATAAATAGAGGGAGAGGACACACACTAGACACGCCATTTTTCTTCACTTTGCTCTTCCTTTCTTGTATTTGAAGTTAGCCGAAACTCTGTCCACTTTTCATTCCAAACTCTTGTTACCTCTTTTCATTTCGTTAATCATATCTCGTATTTCATCCATCGTGGTTCTCATGTTCGTGTTCGTATTTGGGAATACCGTGGTATATTGCGTTATTGAGATTACCGAAGTAAGCTTCTGTTCTGTGGGGTTTTGATAATCATTTGTGGTGGTAGATTGGTCGGTTTCCACCGCCTTCGCCTAACGATTATTCCCCCGTCAGATGTTTGCTAGGTGTAGTTTATTAACTCAATATACATACCGTATTCTCAACCCCTCCGTCTTTGTCGTCGTCATCATCATGGTAATGTTATCAACCTTCATCTTTCTAAATCTCATCATGTCCGGCTAATCTTCTAGTTGTTCCGGATTTGATGAACCCTAATATGTTTTACTTTGATTGAGTGGTATCTTTGATATAGACGTGTTGTTCTCGTTCTTACGATCTTTTCTCGACTTATCATGTGCAAGTATCAATAGTACGCGTCTATTGTATATTTTGTCTGATACATGTAAATGAGACTGCGAGGTAATTTTGCATGTTAGATCCCTCGTGAAAAGAAGGAATTGATCGGAGCCACCGGCGATGGGGTCACGTAGTTCCTCTGAATTAGCTTAAAAACCTAATACGAAAGTTCATAAATCTGGTTATTGCTTTGGTTTAAGATTTTTGTAAGCCACGGTTTCACTTGATTCTTAAGTCAAAAGGGTGTTAATACATGTGCGAACGGGTTAACACTAAATTGGGAATTTCCACGGTCTAAGATATTAACACTCGTCTATGTTAAATTCAACTTGTCTGTAAAATGCATATTAGGGGGATTCACTTCCGGGACAACGAATTCTCCACTTGATTTTACTTTGAAAACTACTTTATTGTGTTTTTATTATTGCGTGTGTTTTTATTTCTAAACGAAAATCAACTAAAAACGATTGACTAGATAATAGGTAAAAGCTGAGTACAAGTACATGAAGTCTCTGTGGATACGACCTTGATTCCTGCTATACTACATTAGAACGATAGGTACCTTTGCCTATTTTTCCTGTGATAGTTACGGGCGATCAACACCCTTCTTTGATCTTGGATTCATTTTACCCTCATCCACTTGATAGTAAACAGGACAACCAAAAACTTTCGATGAAGAGTAATTAGTAGGCTTACCATACCACACCTCAAAAAGGGTTTTACACTCGATGCCTGTGTGAGGTCCACGGTTGATGAGGTAGCACGTCATGTTTACTGCTTCTGCCCAGAACCTCCTCTCCAGTCCAACATAAGAGGGCATGCATCTTGCTCTCTCCAATAATGTTTGGTTCATCATTTCTGTAACGTCATTCTGCTGTGGTGTGTCTCTAACGGTTCAATGATGGGCAATCCCTTCATCCTTTTTGAATTCGTTGAACTCAGAACTGCGGAACTTCAGACCATTATCTGTTCTAAGTCTCTTGATCTTCTTCCCAATCTGATTCTCCAACAAATTCTTCCATTGTCTGAACTTCATGAAGGCTTCACTTTTCTGCTTCACCATGAACATCCAAGTAAACTTTGAGTAATCATCAATAATAGACAGAAAATACCTACTGCCTCGAATGGATTCAACTTGTGAATGACCCCAACAGTCGAAGTGGAGGTAATCTTGTATCCCCTTCGTTCGGTGGATACCCTTCTTAGCAAACTTGATGCGATGTAGCTTCTCAAACACAGAGTGCTCCACCTCTTCCTTTCAAACTGAGACCCTTGATGTCGAGAAGACTCAAGGAGATCAAGTTTTTTGTCATTTTTGGAACATGTCTGACTTCGTTCACGGTACAGAATGAACCATCATGTGTCTGAATCTTGATAGACCCAATTCCAACCTTGCAGAGAGCTCCATTGGCCATAACCACGTTACCACCACTACAAGAAAATTGGTCTATAGAGACTAAATCACCGAGACAAATATAATATATGTTTCTAAAAGTACACTGATACAACAAATATACAATCTGTTTCTATATATGGGATTATTTGTCTCCAAATGGAGCTCATTAACAACACATATAAAATTTGTTTCTATAGGGATTACTATGTGGAACTAAAAACAATACATTCTTAGATAATAAAATATAGTTTCCATAACTTATTAGCTATAGAGACAGATTAATAATAATAATAATAATAAATATAAAAAATACTTTTTTATAAGTGAAATGTATGTTTGATTTGTTTTAAATAATGCTACTTATATAGAAAAATATTAGTTAAGGAAAATATTACTTAAGACTTTTTATTTCTATTTAATCTAAATAAAAATTTTGTGCTTAATAGATTTCATTTATATTGATTGCACCCTCCTTAACCCTACGCTCCATTTTAACTTCTAATCCATCTTTTGCTTCTAGCCTCCATTCCACCGCCGCACCAATCCGTACGTCTATGCCGCTTCGCATTCTGGAGCTTGATGCCTATGGTGAGTTTTTGTTCTTACTAAGATATCTCTCCCATTTGGTTATTGCATTCCAGTACTCATCACTTGCCATCCCTCTCTTCACTCTTCGCTGGCTTGGAACGACACACAGGAGGAACGGTGATGACTTGGGGGATTTCAACTTCCCAGCCGTCGATCTATCAAGGTATTGGGCCCTTGAGATGGCAACGTCTATCAGAAGGGTATGAGAAGCCAGATCGAAAAGGAGCTTTGGCTCAGATCCAACAAAATCTGGGGATGCTCTGTCGTCGGACCAGGACACGTAGGCACCCAGATAAATGTTGTTGATCCTTCTCCAAGGTCGTTATTGGTCCTTCTCGAGTCTCAACCTCTACGATGGGCCCTCTCCCTCCATGCTTTCAATCAGATCAACATGGAATCTTCTCTAAGGTCATTGTTTTCTATTTTTCATTATTTTTTTTTGTTGATTTGAATTCGTTCCCAATGACGTTTAGTGTATGTTTGTTGTACTGCAGATTACCTGTGTATAGAATCAAACAAGAAAGAACAAGAGAAAGGATTGTTCAGGCGGAGTCTGATATAGGCAAGAGCTGTAGGTTGTTGCTTGTGTTCCTTTGAGGGGTTTTATTTATTATGGAAGGGAAAGCTAATATCTGAATCTATTCGAGTGGCTATATTTGTAATTCTCCAGTAATATAAACCCATTTGTACCTCTGGTATATATAATTGATTTGTTATTTTTATGTAGTGGTTTGTGCATTCGATTATCTCAATAAATTTCAATTTCAACAATTTTTCATATAAAAAATGGCAAAAAATTGCCTCACAAACAAAATTATTTGCCTCTACAGATAATATTTGAGGCAAAACTATGTGTCTCTAAAAAGAATGATTTGTCTTTCTAAGTGATATTAGAGGAAAAATATTTTGTTCTCTAAATTCAGATATTTTTGTTGTTAAAATTAGATACAGACACAAAATAATAGTCACTAGAAATAAATATTAGATACTAAAATATTAGTGACAATATCTCAATTCAGCAACAAATGAGATCTGTTTCTATATTTGTTTCTATAGGACTATAGCAACAGCACTACTTGAGACAAATTGTTATGTGTATCTATTGGGTTAGAGAGACAAATAAATGCTTTATAAAGACACATTTCCATTGTCTCTATATCCCTATTTTCTTGTAGTGCACCATCTATCTGCTCGTAGGTTGAGAAGCAGTCCTTATTCGGAGACATATGATATGAGTCTGTAGTATCTAGAAACCAAACATCGCCACGATGTGCCTTATCATCTACAGCCAACGCGAGATCGTCTTCAGAACTGTTGTCCACTTCTGCTACGACAACAGAACCATGGTTCTTCTAATGCCCTCTCTTTTTGGGGTAGTTGTACTTTCAATGCCCCACTTTCTTACAGATGTGACAAGCATTGCTTGGCTGTGGACCGGGACCCTTATAATTTGAGTTAATGTTCGAATTACCTTTACCAGATTTCTTCTTTCTCTTTCCACCTGTAACAACCAACCCCGATGCTTCACCACCTGTACCAGATCCGGACGCCACTCTCGTGTGAAGAGAAGATCTGACATTCTCCAACGACAAACTATCTTTACCAACAATAAAAGAACCCATGAAATTCTCATATGAACTCGGCAGAGAAACACGCAGGATTAGAGCAACATCTTCTCTTCGTCATCAACCTTAACATCTATATTGCGCAAATCCAACAAAATAGAATTCAGTTGTTCTAAATGTTCCCTTAAAGGCGTATGTTCTTGCGTCATAGTTAGTAAATACTCCGTTTAATACACGTATATGTACCCGTACTTATTTTATCGTTTAAAACTTCCGTATCTATATTATTGTCAAGCCGTTTCATTTTTTCCCCATTCATTTAATGACTCCCGTACTAAACACGTATAAAACCCATATAGTTCGATTCAAATCACATCAACATGTTCTTCATTTAATCAATAGTCGATCAATTCTTATCCAATATGTTTACGGGTGGTGATATCAGCAAATGTATCACACAAACTAATTATTACAAGAAAATTACACCAATACCTCTTTCTGTTGGTATTTGAGCATTCGTTGCGATTTATTGAAAAATCCCAATAGGACTTCCGGTCTCCTACATAATAATTATTTATATGCACGATCCTCTCTGAAATCGATACTCATATTCATGTGCATAAGCTTTTTGGTTTTTGCATCACCATTCCATTCTTGCAGACGGAGCCATAATTTTCCATCAACATCTATGTTACTTCGGGAGTGGGCAAACATTCCCATCCACCAAACACTTTCATACGTACGTACCTACTGGCTAGCTATATATAAACCCTAGCTAATATATAGAGGCGGTACCATATTCCATCAAGAGTAAGAAATGATTCGATAAGCATATTCCACATTAGTGGTGCGATGTACGTACCTGGATCATTGTTTGACCTTTTGGGGCACATCTTAATTTCGTCTCTGCTTGAGGTTTCTTCTCTAGCCCTGACTTTTTGCAACCTTAATTGAACCATTTTTTTTTATTTCCGAGTTATATCAAGAGAGGAACAGAGTTATATGACTCACTCCTACTATCACTCTAGAAATTGGCCAAGTGTAACCACTTCCTAAAGGGTAGTATAGCGGGTTTGGATTTTAATGTCAACCCGGGTCCTAGATTTGATGACTACTCAGTGAATTCTTATTATCTAGCAGTGAAACTTTAGTGCAAGTCCAAATTAACAAACAAACAAAGCAAGTTAAACGGTTGTTTTCAAGTCGAGAGAGGTCACCCGGATATGGTTCCTCCTAGACTGCAGTTAAACCGGATTGCAATTTACCAAGTTCAGTTTTCATGGAAGTTATACTGTGGAAGGTTCTTAAACAGTCTGAAGACTCGACTAAAGGTCTCCAGACCCTCTCAATATGAGTCTCCAGCAGGCGACTAACCTCCACCGGAGTAAACAGATTGAGGCCCTAACGAACCAAACCTCCACTACCGAATTGAATTCGGTACACAATAGTGAATTGGCTCCTCGACTAAAGTCGCCAATTCACTACCTTCAATTAAGGGTGCTCTATCAACCTAGGCAGATATTCTCTTTCTAGCTTAAAGCAGAAACAACAGGAATTTGATCAGGATTCAAGTCATTCAATCATTCAGCCTCAATCGAATATAATCAAATCATAAAATCTGTACTTGGGTTCATACAATCGGACCTAACATACAAATCTAGGGTTCTCCATACCCAAATGAATGGGAAAACTACTCTATGGAGAGAGAAGTTAAAGCAGATTCAGATGCGAAAATCATACTGTGAAGAATGAGTTTCTGCTCCTGGTCGTCGATCGACACTTCTCCAAGCTCAAGTCGGGCTCCAATGGTGATGAAGATCAAGCTATGGCACTTGGGAACTCTGGTTCGTCGCTTTCTCTCTCTAGGAATCGCTCTGTCTCTCTAAAACTCGGAACCCTTGATTTTTAGCCTTCTTTTCCTTTAAAAAACTGATGATCGCGATACCCGGTTGGTATTTTGGGTGTCGACCGGGTATGTGCTAAACGCGCCGTTTTGCCTCATGGGAAATCCCCGGTCATGGCCAATAATCCCCGACCGGGGATTTTTGCCTCCTGCCCGGGCCCCCTTCTGTTTCTCACGGACGCCCAAAGCTTCAAATCCCCGGTCATGGCCAGATAATACCCGACCGGGTATTTCTGCTCATGGCCGGGTATTTTTGCTCTCCAGCACACTTCAAGCCTCACTTACTCATTTCGACCCGAATCTCGTTCCTGCGCCTCGATGACAACGCTAAGCCCTGAAATATGACATAAACGCACAACCTAGCGTGAAATCGGCTTAAAACACGAGAATCAACATCTCAAACGGCTCAAGAATAGGGGTAAAAACATGTGCAATTATCGGTCTATCAAACTCCCCCACACTTAACCGTTTGCTTGTCCCCAAGCAAACCTAACTCAAACCAATGCAACTCTCCAGACCTCTATAGCAACCAACAACCCCCATCATAGGTAGAGGATTTCCTAGATCATTTAGCAGCTTACGAGGTCAACCGACGCACAAGTCATCCCATAGCTTCTTCGGCGAGAGCGCTAGTCTCGAGTCGGCATCATGGCTAATAGTGAGCAGAGGACAAATGAATCGTGGATGAATGGACTCTCAAAAACAAAAGATCATGGACTCACCTTTTTAAGGTGCTCTATTTTCTTCTTGAAGATGGTTGGAACCCTTTTTCTTTCTTTTTTGCTATTTTTTTGCTATTTTTTTTTTCAAAGGTTCTAACCTGTTTTTCAGAAAATGGGGGCTCCCACCTAGCAGAGGTTTTGTGGGAGCCCCGGCTCTTATTGGCCATGCCAAGAGCGGATGTCTCGAGCCTCGTGCGGGGGAAAGACATGTAAGGGGGCTGGAGGTAGTAGGTGGAAATTGGAAACGGATTCCCGTCTCCCCTTACACACTTTCGCCCTATTCGCACGGGAGACATTATTTTAAAGCACGCTTTCGAGCACCTTTTATTTCAAAACATGATACATGAGTCCATGACAGGTAGAGAGTCCACAACACCACACAATTCAAGGGTCCTAAGATCACTAATTCACTAAATCAACCAACACAATATGAAGAAGAAATGAGACTTCTTAAATGCATAAACATCCTCCATAGTGCTACACTACCTCCCTAGGTTTCACATTACTAAAGAGACTGTCAATTCAAAGCATACTGAGCAGGCAATTGCAAGGAACACGTACTTGGAGCCCTCAAATTTTAAAAATTTGGACAGTGAACTAGGCTCCAAGCACACAAACAGATCTAATGCAGTCAAAAGATAAACATCCCCCCCCCCACACACTTAAGATCGGCATTGCCCTCAATGGAGAAGAGGGAAGAAAAGGGGAACGATGTTACCGGTGTGCACGGACTGCAGGAGACTGGAAGTGGACCAGTCGGAATGAAGCGGACTGGAGAGAGGATGACACGCCAAAACACAACACCAAACTGCGACCAAGTGTAATCGCAGTCCGGGAATGCAGTAACAGGAAAGTTTTATTATCAACCCGGGGTCTAGATCTACTGCTTACTCCGTGATTATCAATTATCTAGCCAACTAAGTCGAGTGATTTGTGTTTAAACTAAACGCAGTAAGAAAGCAGTAAATGGTTCGGTTTTCAAAAGCAGGAAAGAGTCACTCGGGAATGAGTCCCCCTAGCTCCTTAGTTAGGTTCAATTGTAATTACCCTGGGTTGATTCAATGTTGATTAGACTGCGGAAGATCCGTCAGTAGCTTGGAATCTCTTAAGCTGACCAAGCCCTCTCAGTCTAACTACCCGGAAGACGACTAGTCTTCACCGGGATAGAAAGCTGAGGCTATGAACACAGGACTCCGCTACTGGAATTGAATTCCAGTACAAAGAAGTAAACTGGATAACTCTCGTATAACCAATCTCCTACTATCGAATGAAGAGGCTCTAACAACCTAATCAGATTCTATCTATCTCAAGTTGCAGCAGAAATCAAGAAAAGCTGATCAGACTTCAATCAATTCAATAAACATGCATCATTCGATTAAAACCAAATAGTATAATCATCCCAAGTCATTACAATCAAATCCCTAAC